TTCCCTTTTCAGGACTGTTCTGGTGTTAGTATGTACACATTTTGTTTACTCTCCTTCTCATGGACTTGTGAGTCTTTCTACCTCTTGGTATTTTAAATGGTGCTGCTATGAACATGAGACTGCAAAATCTCCTAGGATCCTTGCTTTTTTCAGTTCCTTTGAGTTTGTATCCAGAAGCGTAGTTGCTGGATCATATGGAGAATTAATTCACTTTTGGTGACAGTAATAAAAGAACCGAGACTGCAGGAGATTGGTTGTCCTGCAACTGAAAAAAACAAAACAAAACAAAACAAAAAAAACCAGTGACAGGAGAAAATGTTTCGTTAGCAAAAATACCAGTGTGTTGGAAGATGGGGTGTTAACACCTGCCACTGTCTTCACTGGTGCCACCCAAACCAAGTTTCAAAGTATCTTGTGTGAGTATGTTACTTCAGGTTCAGGTGAACATGAGGGCAGTTTGTTAATCTCCATAAATGGCCAGTTCTTGAACATGGGTTATGAGTTCTTAGCTCAGTCCAAAGCATCTTATGCTTGTGAATTGAAGAAGCCATGATTATTCAGAGGCTTGTGTGAGGGCTGTGCATCTGGTTTCTGTCACTGCTGGTTTCTGCTTTGCGTTGACAATTTTCTCTTACTGTGACTATCTGTGTGGCCAAGGAGTGAGTGGGTAGTACATGGGAAGTGGGTCAGTGCTTTCTGCTTTCTTATTTTATTGCTGGGGATTAAACCTAGTTCTTTACAGTGACATCTCTAGTTCTAGGTCCTGCCCATTTTGTTAACAGTTCACTGACGTATCAATTTACATACCAAAAATCTTATCAATTTTAGATTTACAGATCAGTGATTTCAACAAATTGTCTTAGTTGCACAACTGTGGCATACGTCTCTAACGTTTTCTGCCCTCAAGAAGATCTCTTAAGCCAACTTTATTCCTAGTCCCTGCTCCAGATAACCAGTTGTAGAGATGAGGTGAGCAGGCCTGCTTTTTGTCCAGCTCAGCTCCCACATGGCTAGCTTTATACTGGGAAAGATTCAGCATGTCTGACCTGGTGGCTGGCTCCAGGGCGTCTGCCTCACTGCCTTCTTCCTCCCAGCATTCTGTTCTGTTTTCCCTGCCTACCTATATTCTGACCAATCAGGCCAAGCAGTTTTCTTTATTAATTAACCAATGAAAGCAACAGATAGCAACCCTCCTACATCAACCAGCAGTCTACTTTCTTCCTTTTTTCTCTGTTTTGTTAAGATGAAATCATAATCTATATGGTCTTTTGTGTTTGACTTCCCCCTCCCAACCAAACAGAAAAAGAAAAGCATTGTTTAAAAAAAAAAAAAAGAGAGAGGGTGGGGGGAGATGGATGTTGGGAGAAACCAATATGCTCCTGAAAAAAAGGGGGGGAATGCATAGAAAAGTGAAAGTGAGCCCCACACCCTAGCTACCCTTAATTCAGGCTATTTAAAAATTAACTTTATGGAGAAAAGATGACAGTTTAACCCACAGTTTTCAGATGCTCACAGGCATACACCTCCTTCAGCTTGACTTCTGATAAGAACCTCCTGGCAGCTGGCATCTCAGTGTGATGAACTTTTTTAAGAGGAAATGATCACACTTGCAAGGCAGGAAACTAGAGAGGATTCAGGGTTAGGTTTCCACACTTGGAGTGCTGCTCTCTGTATCTAGAGTATGCTCTGGCATACTAATGGTCACTGTCTTCTCTCAGGCTGTAGTCCTGATAACCAGCACATTCTCTGGACCCACACTGTCAGGGACCCACTGTGGCCACTTGGGGCCAGACTTCCAACATGAATCATGGGGACGAAAACTATATTTAGACCATAGCATGTGGGAAACCTATTGTTTGTTTTTGGGGGTTCTCACATGGTTTTCATAGCAGCCGTGTAACATAGGCTCCTACCCATTATATACAGCAAAGGTTTCGGTTTCTTTACATTCTTGACAATACTCTTCTGAGACAGGATTTCCCAGTTTAACTCAGACTGTGGCCTCAAACTTTTGATCCTCCTGCCTCAGCATTCTGAGTCAAGGTGGGATTGCAGTTTATGTGCCATCAAGCCCAGTAATACTTATTCTTTGAATTTTAAGTGTTTTATCTTCTTGGTAGCTGTCTTTGTGTGTGTGTGTGTGTGTGTGTGTGTGTGTGTGTGTGTGAGAGAGAGAGAGAGAGAGAGAGAGAGAGAGAGAACCATTGATTTGAATTGAATTTGGATTTTCTTAATAGTGATGTGAAACATACTCTGTGTTACTTGTGTATGTGGCACATTCATGGCCATGTGCCATTTTGATAGCACTAGGTTTTGTTGTTGTCATTTTTGAGATAAGGGATCACTGTGTAGCTCTGTCTACTATGTAGACTAGGCTAGCCTTGAACAGGTCCACAGACCTCTGCCTCTCCAATGCTGGGATTTAAAGGCTTGTGTCACCATGGCTCAGCTAGCATTAGATTTTCTTTTAATGTATACCTCATGTGGACTGGGTGTAGCATTTCATAGCATTCCAGTTTTTGGGAGGGCAGAGAGAGGAGTATTGGCATAAATTTAGCGTCAGCCTGTGCTACTTAGTGAGACTGTTTCAAGTAAACAGTTATTATGTGTGCAAGTTCTGAGAATAATTAAAAGTAGTTATTTCAGATACTATTAATATTTTTCCTGCCTGGTTCAACCAAAACACTACTGAACAGGAAAAAAAAGAAATCTTTCTGAGTTCAGCATAGAAAACTAATTTGTAAAATTGGAGTTCTGTATGCTGAGAACTTAAAACTATAGAATCCTTGTGGGATCCAGTTATGAAGCATGTCCCAGTATATATCAAAACTGTGTATGTATATGTGTGTGTATGTATACACTTTATATATGACTCTTCATATATAAAAACACATAAGCAGAGGAAAAACACCCAGGCTATTCTTAGGGAAGAAAAGAAGTTTTAGAGAAGAGATGAAGAGATTTATGAGAAAAATTACACAGGAGTAGACATTAACTCCATGGCCTTTCCATAGGGGCTCCCTATTACAGAGAATCACTCATCTGGTAGATCAGCCTACTGAACACTAGTTATCACATGCTATATCTTGATGTGGGATGTCCTTCTGCATATGTGTGGCTTTTATTTAGCTATTTGGGCCAATGGCTTAGCAGAGTAAAGCCAGACAGGAAATTCAAACAGAGATCTATAGAGATAGGCAGAATCAAGAAGATGCCACGTAGCTGCCGAAGGCGACAGATGTCCTGGAATCTTTCTGGTAGGCCAACGCCTCGTGGCGATACAAATTAATAGAAATGGGTTAATTTATGATGTAAGAGCTAGCTAGGAATACACTAGAGTCATTAACCAAGCAATGGTGAAATTAATTTGGGTCAGGATGGCTGGGAAATGAACGAGCAGCCTCTGCCAGCTTGGAGCAACTATCACATAAAAACCGAGAGAGCTTGGGAAGGAATTCAAGACGCAAAAGAACAGAGTTAAGCACAGCTTCTTGGTAGTCACATTTTTTTTTTTTAAGATAGGCTCCATTTGCTGGCAGCGAGCAGGTGTGGCTCCTCTAAGAAAAGGCTTCCTGACTCAGCATTAGCATAAAAAATCTGTGTGTGGCTTCCTAGTTTGGGCTGGCAGCATGAACTCTGGCTCTTTCGTTCACTTAAATGGGGTTTATGAGCAGCATGTTACAAATTGCTTAATGGTAACATAGACCTGCCATGTCCCTAGGGTGGTGAGCGTGGCTTGCAGAGCTGGCTATGAACGAACCTGCGTCATGTTGGACTGGGCAGAGCAAAAAGGCAAATCTCTGTAATAGGGAGCCCCACCTGGAAAGGCCATGGAGTTAATGTCTACTCCTGTGTAATTTTTCTCATAAATCTCTTCATCTCTTCTCTAAAACTTCTTTTCTTCCCTAAGAATAGCCTGGGTGTTTTTCCTCTGCTTATGTGTTTATCTCATTAAAATATTCCATCTACAGGACATATACACCTGGGTGGTCAACAAGATTGACTTTTTATATATGAAGAGTCATATATAAAGTGTATACACACACACATACACAGTTTTGATATATACTGGGACATGCTTCATAACTGGATCTATTTATCCCACAAGTACTGTAGGCACATAAAAACCTGCTCTGTTCCTTTTTATTCAGATTAATATAAAAAAATCAATTTCTCCTCAATCTAACACAAACTGCACACAATTAGCTCACTTTTACCTCAGAGCAAGTTCAAACTAGACTAAAGGCTTTATGTAAATAGATCATAAGTTTGAAACCTTTCAGCTATGTACAAGGTCAGAGCTGCAGATGTCCAACCAAGGTTACTAAGAAAAACATGTCAATTCTTTGCTTGCCAGTCTACTAACAATAGACCCGTGTCTAAAAATTGTCATTGAGTACTATGCTTTCCCCCTACCCCACCCCCTGTGTGGTTGTGGTATTGCTTCTATGGCCTTGGGTCCTTATGTTGCTGTGGCAATGGTTCAGCTCCTTAATTGCTTACCCTAGGAATGTGATTTTCACTCTTGTAATTTCCTTATCGCTTCAAGGCTCCTAAAGGAGAAAAGTTTATAGAAATAGTAGTTAGAAGAAGAAGCTAGGAAAGGTTAGATGTAGGACAGGAGAATTAGGATAGAGGCAGAACAATAAGAAACTGGCATGAAAAAGTAATGAGTGAGAGATTAATTTTTTGCACTCAGATCCCAAGACCCTCATTTGCTGTAGCATTCTCTCTGAACCCTGAGAGTGAATTGAGGCTGATACTTAATAGCCCTTCTTAATACTCACAGGAGCTGTGCCCTTTCCTGAATGGAGATGAAAGAGGAAGGGATTGGGGGGGTTGGTAGGAGGAGGATACAGCTGGCTTATAAAATAAATAGATGAATTTTTTTAAAAAGGAAAAATAGGTACAAATGAAATATTGATACTTGAAGATTATATGATGTTATGGTGGTTCTTTATTATTGATCAATCTAACTTGAAATATTTTATTTTGTTTAGTCAGGTCAATTCAGTGAAGATATGATACCCACAGTGGGCTTCAACATGAGGAAAGTAACTAAAGGTAACGTCACAATAAAGGTACGTTGGCTTCTCATAGTCTATGCATGTGTCTATTTATGGATGCATACATACATGCATTACCCTATCCCTCTCTTTATACCTGATTTAATTTTCTTTTCTTTTCTTTCTTCTGGTTTTACCTACTGTTTATAATTACTAAGTAATGGTTGGATTGTTGCAAAGACTGTAAATCAGTTATTTATGTTTTCTGATAGGTTAAAGTGTTTAAGAGTTGAAATGTAGTTAAGTGTCCAGAAAAGTCAACTTACCATGTGGGTTAGTAGAAGTAACATTTGATATCTTGAGAATTCCAGAAAATAACAGTCCTATCTTTAGTCTGAGCAGTGTTGTATATTGAAAGGTGGTACTTAGTGGTAGCAAATATCGTAGTCGATCTTTTTCTTCATTATTAAGTCTAAAGTTTAAAATAAAATAGGAAAAGTGTAACTCATTTTTAGCATAATTTCTTATTAGCTCCTGGACTGCAGGAATATTGGGGGATTTATTTTTCTTGTCATTCTGCAATTCCTGCAAGTTTAGGCCCCCAGCCCTGAGCCATGTGAACATTTTACCCAGTTGTTGACAGATCTGCTCTGTGGCTTTTCTGATGACACTCCTCATTTTGTTGACTGTGTGTTTCTATGCATTTTACCAGTGTCAGTGCTTAAGTTGGAAACTACATTAAAGAAAGCCAGAGCTTAGGAGAGTCATATGTCGTACAGTGCTGAATAGAGCAGACAAAACAGTGAAATTATTATGGAGCACTTCAAGTGAAGGACTGTTGAGTCTGTTGCTTACAGAATAATTTAAAAAGGCACACTTAAAGTTTAGGAGATCCTGAGCTGTTTTTTGTCTTGGCATCCCAGTCTGGATGTTGCATGCTTTTGTAGGTGTTAAAGTTGTTATCTTAAAGTTATATATATCCATGATTAGAAATATATTGAGTAATAGTTACTATCACATTGTTATATTTAACCAAGTCATTGCTCAAGCGGAATTTAGATCTAGAGTTTACATTTTTAGAATTCCAAGTTGAGAAGGGGGCTGCCAGATATCACGGATTGAGTTTTGGGTTCCAGGTTTTGGGAGTACTTTGCTTCTGTGACATTTGATATGTCTTTGTGACTGTTCTCCATTTCCGGTAGTACCTTCATCAGATGTGCTTATTTTTGCTTTGTTTTGATTAAATTGCCTTGTTTTGATTAAAGATCTGGGACATAGGAGGACAACCTCGGTTCCGGAGCATGTGGGAACGGTATTGCAGAGGAGTCAATGCTATTGTGTAAGTTGACGTTTTTTTTTTTTTTTTTTTTTGTCTGATTAGTCTCTGAATAATGTAGTTATTTATGCTAAATGTAGGACTTAATTTCTTTTGATTAGAAGTTTCAGAATTGTAAATATTAAGAAAATTGAAAATCTATAAGTAGTTCATTGAGATTCATAGATGGCATGTTGAGATGGCTTTGTTTTTAAGTTACATGATAGATGCCGCAGATCGTGAAAAGATAGAAGCCTCTCGAAATGAACTCCATAATCTTCTAGATAAACCACAGCTACAAGGAATTCCGGTAAGTTTGAGGAGTCTGATATTTTATATTTGCAATTATATACTTAACATTGAACCAATCTCGGTATCCCTAGAGATTGGTTTTAGGATTCCCTACTTCCCACAAGTATGGAGATCTGAAGATTTATGCTATTTTTCTTTTCCTTCCCCCCTTCCTTTTATTTTGAGATTAAGCTTTATAACCTGGGATTTGTGATCCTGTTGCTTCAGCCTCCCAAGTGTTGGGATAATAGGAGTCTGTCACCATACCTGGCTTCTCACGGCCTTTGTGGAAAATGGCATGGTGTTTACATGCAAACAACATAATTCTTCTATATACTTTGAATTATATTTAGATTACTAATGATACTTAATACAACAGATTTTTTTTAAATAGTTGCTGACTGTCCTCTTTAGGGAAGGATGGCAAAAGGAAGTCTGTACATTCTCAATGAAGTTACAGGTCCCCCTTCCCATATTTTTTTGCTTAGTTTTATATTTGCTTTTTGAGATAGCTCTCACTGTATAGACCAGGCTGACCTGCATCCTACTATATACATAGCCCAGGCTGGCCTCCCACTGGACTTTTTTTTTTTTTTTTTTTTTTTTTGGCCTTAGTTTCCAAGCACAAGAATTAAAATTCTTAGTCTCTTGCCTGGCTTCCCTGTGTTTTTGATGTGCAGTTGGTTGGGTATGGAGCCTGTCGGTCTAGAGGACTGTTAATTTTATTTGAAATTAGTAAAATGCCATTCTTTTTTAAATGGTAAGAGTACATTAGCTACAACATTATGAAATTGAGAAATTGAATTTATCTTCCTCATCTTTCTCCGCTACTTATGATATTTTCTCATTGAATGAATTATTTGAAATACTTTTGAAGACTCATCTGTCTCACCTGCTTGTGGTTGCTTGTGCGTATAATTCTGTGCTTGCAAGCCTGAGGTGGGAGGATTGTTGTGAGTTCCAGGCCACCTGGAAAAGTCCTCCGTTGATTTAAAGATCTGGTGTATTGGAGTGTAGTCCTAGTTCTGGAGTACGTTCTTACAAACTCGAGCCACCTTTGCCCTGTGACTGCTGGATCCTGGATATTGGACTGTCTATAGATGCTTTAACCAGATAGCCACCAAAGTATGTAGTGAGAGCGGTGCTCAGTGCTGGGGATATAGTGATGGACAGAAGTTGGGTAGGAATATTGCATTCTGGGGGGGAAGATACATATGGGAAAAAACATTTAGTAGCACAGCTCTGGTAAACAATGTTAAGACAGGTGCAGAAGTCCTTAAGAATTGCAAAGATTTATGCAGTTCAAGGTGAAGGAAGAAGGATCTCTGAGTTCGTGAAGTATGAATGGAGGTCTGATGTGTGGGAATGTGAAGGATGGGATGGTAGTAGGGAAGAGTTCAGGCACAGGCCCTTTGGCAATAGGAAGTCATCTCCAGAAAACAGCGCCTTGGGAATGACCGGGTTGAGTGACATGCTGAGCTGTAGCTGGGACATTAGAGGCCACACTTACAAGATAGTCTTGTGGATAGTCTTTCACCTTTTTTAAAGGAAAGGAAGTGCTCTCTGTCACAGCTACTATTTTTTTTTTTGTTTGTTTGTTTGCTATATTTTTCTATCTTTTGAGATAGAATTTCATTGTGTGTGTGTGTGTGTGTCTGTCTGTCTGTCTGTCTTTTGGAGAAGATCTCACTATGTATATCCTAGGCTGGCCTCAGAGTGAGTGATCTATCTGTCTCTGCCTCCAGAGTGCTGGTATTAAAAGCATGGGCTATCATACCTGGCCCTCATACAGTGTATCGTTTTTTACTTTTGTGCTCTTTTGGGGGCCCGCCACCCAACTCCCAATAAATACAAGGCATTTTACTCTTTCTTAAGCCAGGCAGCCTTAACTTGGCTTGCTTATAGCTAGCTTTTCTTAAATTATCCCATCTACCTTTTGCCTCTGGGCTTTTTTTTTTTTTTTTTTTTTTTTTTTTTTTTTTTTTTTTTTTNTTTTTTTTTATTTCTGTATACCTTTCTTTACTTCTTACACTGTGACTTGCTATGTAGCTGCATGGCTGGCCTCTGTCCTCCTCTTCTTTTTTTGTGCCTAGACCTCTTCCCAGATTTCTCTTCTTTATTCTCCTTGCCTGCCAGCCCTGCCTTATCCTTTCTCCTGCCTTTCTTTTGGCGGGTCAGCTCTTTATTAGACCAGTTAGGTGTTTCACAGAGTTAAACAAATGTAACATAAAAGAAGGCAATACACCTTTGCACCATTACACAAATGTTTCACAGCATAATCAAATATAACAACACATCTTCAAATAGTATTCCACATCCACAATGTATTTTGTTCTTTTCCCATTCACTCCTTCCCAGTCTATTCTCATCCAGCTTGTACCCCCCTTAAAAAGGATTTTTTTATGGTCCACTAAGTCTAGTTTATGTTGGTGTATTCTCATGGGTGTGGGGGCCATCCATTGGAGTATGGTCAGAGAGGCCACACTTTTAAGGAGAACTAACTTCCTCCTCTAGAAGCCATTAACTCTACTAGCTCCTGAAAACCTGGGGGAAAATCAGTTGTCTCCCTTTTTGCATTTGAATGACACAGATAAACCTTTAGTTGTGAAGTGTGTGTGTGTGTTTTTTTTTAAGTAGCTCTGAGTAGAACTAAATATATAGATGAGACGAGCCTCAAACTTAGAGATCCCACCAAACTCAGCTTCACCTGCAGCTGTGAAGATATTTAGATTTTGGTTATGACTTTCTAGGAAGTCTCAGAATGTACACCATAGCCTTAGAATTATTTAGTGCTGAGAAGTAAGCCATTGGACATGCGTATGTGTCATGACTTGTGTTTGGAGGTCAGAGGACTACCACTGCCATGTGAGTGAGTCCTAGGGTTTGAACTCAAGTCATCAACCTTTCCTCACTGAGCCGTCTTTAAGCTCCTAGAGTATCTTAGAATATTTTAAATGCAAGCTGGCCACAGACTGATTTGAGGCTGTCTTTATGGTAGGTAGATTATGTAATGCCAGGATAAACTCATAAATGTGTTTTTATTTATATTTATCAAGTGTGCTTCATAATTAAGGTGCATGTTAACATTAAAGTAGTTTTGGAATATTTAGATACTACATTGTGCCTCTGATCTTTTTGTACATAAGATTCACCCATAATATCTTTTCTTTTAAAGGTACTAGTACTTGGAAACAAGAGAGATCTCCCAAATGCCTTGGATGAGAAACAGCTAATTGAAAAAATGTAAGTTGTAAGAAGAGTAATGTTGAGAAGCTTGTTGGTAAATTATAGACTGTCCTCTGTTTATTCAGTAATGATTATACCTTGTTCTTAGATGGATAAACTGGATCAACCAGAGAAGTAAATCTCTAAACTTTTGTTAGCGGGAAAATATTCTTTTCATAGTAATGAGAATAAGTGAAACTGAGTAAAGAGTGATAAGTATGACAGCTGCCACCCTTTTCACCAATTCTGTTTCTTGCAGGAATCTGTCTGCTATTCAGGATAGAGAAATTTGCTGCTATTCAATTTCTTGCAAAGAAAAGGATAATATAGGTAAGAAATGGCTGCTGGGTTTTGGAATAAAAGAGTACTATGGAAAAAGACTTTGTGTTGTGGGGACTCACTAGGTGTCTTTTTTTTTTTTCAATATACTTTTTTTTTTAAGGCAATATACTTTCTTCTCTGTAGCTTTGGAGCCTGTCCTGGAACTAGCTCTTGTAGACTAGGCTGGTCTCGAACTCACAGAAATCCACCTGCCTCTGCCTCCTGAGTGCTGGGATTAAAGGTGTGTGCCACCATTGCCCAGCTATACTTCACATTTTTAACTGAGGGCTTATTACCCTAGGAGACATGTGGCAATATATGGAGACATTTTCTTTTGGTTTTCATAACTGGAAGAGGGTAGAGACACAGATGTTTCTAAACATCTCTTAGTCCCTACAGCAAGAATTAGCATAGAATGTCAGTAGAAGCAGGGCTGCTCTTCACTGTAGTTTTTAGGATGTTGTGCGATTCTTTAAACCCATTACTTCTTTAAATACTCTTCAGAAGAATTTCAGTAGAAATGGGAAACTTTAGGAGGAAAAAATAATCTTTTACTCTCAAGAACTAGCCAGATAATTTTCTAAAGGAACAACAGCAACAACAAAACTAACTGGGCATGATGGTGGATACCTGTTGTCCTGGTTCTTGGGAAGCTAAGGCAGGAGGATTGCTATGAGTTTGTGGTCTCCCTGGGCTATATGGTGACTGCTAGGGTAGCTATGACTTGGTAGCAGGATCCTGTCTCAAAAGAGGGGTGGGATGGGGAGATGAGAGAAAGTCAGTCTTGTATTCATTAATTCAAGGCTGTAAGGGATTCAGCAGTGGTGGTGAGAATCGATTGGCGTTTGAGGTTGATCATGGCTCACTGGGGTACACTAATAGTCATTTCAGTGTTACTGAGGCTAAGGAAACCACTGCCCTTTCACTAGACTCAAACTGAGCATTAATCAATGAATTGCTTCAAAAAGTATTTGAGTGCTCATGGTTTCCTGTGTTTTACTGTCCCCTTCATGTGGCGCAGGAAGTGTTTTGATCTCAGGAAGGTGTCCTGGAACCACATGAGGAGAGTGTTTACTCCTGTGACACTGACTCCAGAGAATCTTCTCTGCCTTCTGCATTTTTGTTTAGTCTGTGGACTCACTTGTCTTTGGGATCTTAGCCTCTGTCCATTGGTTGTGGAATATAGAAAGGTTTTTCTTTTCTTTCAGTTTCTTAAATATGAAAATGTAGTCATTTTACTTAAAGCTTACTTTCCTCCTCTGATTTCACACTGTTGTGTATACGGAGACTGCTCATTTCCCGACTACTCAGACTTGAAAGATCACACAGAAACTATATTAATTATAACACTGTTTGGCCAACAACTCAAGTGTATTTCAAGCTAGCTCTTATATCTTAATGTGACCCATTTCTATTATTTTTTTCCATGATGCTTGTGGTTTGCTACCTCTTGCTTCTTGGGCAGCTACATGATATCTCCCTGACTCTGCCTACTCTATCTATATCTCTGTTCAAATTTCCCACCTGGCTTTGCTCTGCTAAGCCATTGGCCAAAACAACTTTATTCATAAATCAATAAAGCAACATATATACAGAAGGACAACCCACATCATTGGTGTGATAAATGTAAAAGACTTGTGTCAGCAGTTATTAAATTATTGTTTTCCCAATTGTGAATAGTCACTTTTGTTCGGCTCCTGGCCCTAGTCTGTACTTGGTATGTGTGGTCTACAGCTTCTCTAATGTATTTTAGTGGGAAAATGGAAGACTGAATTTACAATTATCTTTCAAGCTTGGAGAATAAGAGTGCTACATAGAATGGATTCTCACATAGCTTTCAGATTGTTAGTACATTTTAAAGAACTCAGGATGGCAGTTCATTGCTCTGACTTAGCTGCCTTCTCACTCTGAACTTTTTCTGGCTCTCCTGAACGGCTGTAGCTTTGACTGTATTGTTGATTCCGTGTTAGTTGCTCTTCTTCAGATCTTTAGAACTGAAATGCCTGCTGTCAGATCCTCTGGATGTGAATCACTTGGGAAGTAAACCAGTTGTGTCTGGCCATGCGGTGCATGTCTTTAGTCCTAGTGCTTAGGAGGCAGAGGCAGAAGTCTCTGAATTGGAGGCTAGCCAGGCCAGAGATTGTTTCTTCCCTACTCCCTGCAGTCACACATGAGATCCTGCCAGTTGTGCATCTTCCTGCTTCTCTATATACTGTGTTTGCTTCAGGTTTCCATTCTGTCCTGTCCTGTCAGTTGAACGGAGTCAGTCTGCATATGGCAGCCCTCCAAATTATTCTGTTGTACTTGTTGGCTTGCTAAAATAAGCTAATATAGCTTCCCCACTTTAAAATTTCCAGTAATTTCCTGTTGACTTGAGAATGAAGTCCTAACTTGTTAGCACCACTTTATTTACTGAGCACAACTCAAATACTTGCACTCCCTTAGACATTGTTTTAAAATTAATTTTTAGTACAGAAGCAATGGGTTTCATTATGATAGTTGCATGCATGAAAGTCATACTTTGCTCACATTCCTTCCTCTCTTTTGATCCCTTCCCTATTCCTGCTGGGCTTACTCATCCCCAGATAGTTCCCTTATCTTTGCTTTTATGGTTTTCATTTTTGTTTGTGTGTGTGTGTGTGAGCGCGCGCGAGAGAGTGAGAGAGAGAGAGAGAGAGAGAGAGAGAGAGAGAGAGAGAGAGAGAGAGAGAATGTCCAGATGCCTTAATTTTGTCCTTTATGGCTGAATAAAACTCCCTAGAGACATTTTGGTTGTCATGGTGGGGCTGGCACATAGTTGTTAAGGCCATGGATGCTCTAAACCATTCTCTGAGGCACAGGAAAGGTTCACCTCATGAAATGATTAGTCAGCTCCAGATGCAACAAGGACCAGGTTATAAAGCAGTGGCCTAGGTGTCAGAGTTTGTGGGAACTCTATTTTCCATGTGCCTGAGCCACATCTTAGCAGCCCCCCATGTTCTGCAGTAGGGCATGCATTCTGAGTCTGCGAGTCTTTGCATGACATCAAAGCACAGGTAATTTTATCTTTATTATTATAGTTAGAAGTATCTTGAGGTCAGAGAGCCTTTCATACATATCTTTGCCGTGGCAGTTTTGTTTAGATCCTGATTGGTACCAAGTTCATGTTCAGTATCTGATAGTTTCTCACATTGCCCTCTTGAAGCCCTGGTGATGGAGTTCAGATGCAGAAGAGATCTAGCACCTTGGACATTTTAAGTATTGTCTATGTGTTTAGTTTTGTAATGCTGATTTCTTAACTCTCACTTTCCCTGCCTTTAGATATCACACTTCAGTGGCTTATTCAACACTCAAAATCCCGAAGAAGCTGAGACATCCTCTGGCGTCTTCCAGTCCTTCTTGGCTATAATCCTAGAACTACTGTCCGTTCCTCTGAAGTACTTCCCAGAACATGGTCCTTCCTAAACCCAAGAAATTGCCTTTCTCAGAGTTTCTTTCTCATGTGCACTGCTAAAGATGTCTATTCCTATTCTTCATAACAAATCGGCTGGAGTTGTCATGATAAAGTCAGCACACACTAAAAGGCCTCACACACTTGTCTAATGTGGAGAGGTCCTCTTTCCTTTCTTTTTTAAAAAACACCCACATTTTGACCATCTTAAAGTTAAGAAAATTGCATATTACCCTTCTGGTCTTTCTGGGCCAGATTTTTGTATTGATTTTCAGTAAATGTCTACCTATTTCATTACAGAGTCCAGTATCTTATACTGGTACTGACTTGATGCAGCATGGAATTCCTAGTGCCACACACAGTATTTAGAAAAACTTCAAGCCTGACTCGTGGGATATAAACATGTTTATCTCCTCCCACACATGCATGTGAAATGTAGAGTTACACTGTAGGAATAATTGGTCTGCCAAGAGTTAGCAGAGGTGCCAGGTCAGCACAGTGGGCTCCTTACACTGGAGACTTCATACCTGGTAAATTTTAAACATTCTGCTTTTTGGGACTCCTTTGTCACCAGATCCATTTGGGGAGATGGGAAGAGTTACAACATGCTCTTTTGTATCTATCCAGATCATTAGTTTTCTTCCCCCTTTTAACACACTTTTTTAAAGGGATGGGAATTGAAGATTTTTTCAAAAGCTTTCATGAATTTAGAGCATTCCAGCTCGTGTAATAAACCCGTTAAGCGTGTCTGACTTTGTAAACACATGTCTGTTCTTTGTCTCCAGACATCCGCCCTGTGCTACTGCATGACACCCGTAACTCCTGACTCTTTATATCTAGTCATGAAGTTGACTTTCAGCACAAAGGATACTTAGAAACAAATTCTTATTTTTTCTTACCAATGTGAGGCTTGGCACTCTTTTCACTGGTGCCACTAGGCTTCTTGATTGTGACAACTCTAGACCTGCCTGCTTAATCTAATCATGCGCAATGTCTACAGGTTGTTTAATGATTGGCCACGCAGAGAACCGAGGAACCAATGCTGTTTATTGTTTGCTTCTATGATACAGAACTGTACAAAAACTTACATTGAACATATTTTGTAGCTTAGCTATCTCCACTTACATAAAGGGACATATTAATACTGGTTCATTTGTAAGTTGTTACTCATGCTGATGTAGTGATAAAACCCTGTGGTTACACCTGCTTCTGTATTGCCTCACACTGTGTGTGACTTGTCTCTTCTGTTAAGCAGCACTATGTCGGCAGTACATACTCAGATATGTTGAGCACTCCAAGTGTAGTCAACAGTAAGTTCTTTTAATGAATACCGTTTAATTTATAGACTGCCACGGCCTTAAAAATATTCTGTACAAATAACTGCACTGTGTTGCACAGACACTACTTGTTTTCTTCATTCATATTTTTATTGAGTAGAATCTGGGCTTTACAGTTCTCATTTTATTCATGGAAGCATGTTGCACTCTTCCCAGAGGATGGGATGGGTGGTTTGAAGGAAGGGATGTTTAAACTTGCTCATGTAGCCCAACAATGGTCACTGTGAACCATTTTAAAGAATGTGGCAACTTGCTTGTGCCTAAGTGGAGGGATTGGAATCAGAATGTGTAACTAAGTGGTACTGCATAGGTTTTTGTTAATTGACCTATAGCTAAACCTTAAAATGTTTGTGTGTCTTTTCATTGCTTTGCAGCATTTCAGGACATCTAAAAGCTACTACCAACATTTTCCTGTGCATAACCTCTGCATGTGAAAACCTAACAGTTACTGAACTTTGTAAATACGTAAATTTTTTTATTTAGGCGTGGATGCATTTTTCATCTGTTGACTGCTCTTCTCAGCTTTATTCAATAAACTTGCATTTTGAGGGTTGCATTGACAGTTTTACCTTAAAATGTGCATCCTGATGAAGGTGCAGTTCTTGGGAATGGAGTGGAGAGAGAATTACTTGAGAAGGGCTCCACAGGCCACGTGCTGGAAAGAAGCTGTCGTCTCACTTGTCAGAGGATCCGGTTCGTGGGATGAACTCAGAATAAAATTTTACAGTATCTACCTAATTGGTACTTGTTGAAAGAGGATTCTATTAGTAATAAACAGTAGTGGCACTTTGTGGGTGAGCACTGAGGATCGAGCCTCATCAGTGCTAGGTAGGCACTCTGATACCACCCAGCCAATACCCTTTCTCTTCTACCCACAAATTTAGGACTTTTCGGTGGTAGGCTAGTGAGGAATTTTATTATTCAGTTTATCTAAAAAACTTATATTGCCAGGATTTGAATCTAGGCTCTTGTGTATTCTAGGAAAGCCCTCAACCACAGAGCTACATCCCAGCCTTACAAAAAAATAAAAATAAAAATTGAAGACCTAATTAAAAAAATGAAATTCCAAGACACATCTACAGAATGCAAATATTTTCATTCTCATGGGATGGCTTAATGAGTGAAGCACTCGCCTCCTAAACTGGAACTGGGATCCCTAGCAGTAGATGTTAGGCCTTTGTGGTAGCCTAACTGTAATCCTAGGACTGGAGAGGAGAAGAGTGTCCATGTGTCCCGCTAGACTAGTGGCAAAGTGAGATCTGGGTCTGAGAGACACTGCCTCAATATAGAAGGTAGAACATCTGGGCTCCAAGTGTGCATATACTCCCACACAATATACATATATAGGCATACAGGCCATACGTACACATGAAAAAATAAAAATGTTTATTTTTCTATAAACCCTATTTTTAGAGTAAGGTATTTGGCCCATGTTGCTAACATGTTATCTGAACTGTAAAATAATATTGATTTTTTTTTCTTTAAAATGAGAGTCATTGTAGAAATGGTTTTAGTAAGTTAGGCTGTCATTACTGTATTACTAATTGGGTGCATGATTTGGCATATCTACCACAACATTTTACTATTTTGTGAAATTGATGTAACAAGGAATGCGAATCTGGATGGAACTGGGGAAGACATTCAAAGTACACATTTAGCTTGGTTCAGAAATGGAGAGTTTATTATTTTAAAATGTTTTGTTTTGAGACAAGGTTTTGCTTTGTAAACCAGGCTGGACTCAAACTCACCATCCTCCTTCCTTAAATCTTGAGTGCTGTAATGATGGTATGTGGCTAAAATAACCGACTTCTAAAATTAGTCTTTTTGACTATGATATGTAAATTGGGTGCTTTGGACGATGGCTGTTTTAGTGTGCTTTATTTTTGACTGAGAAAGTGATTTCCTTTGGCATCTACAGTTGAATCAGGTTGATTTGGTAATTACAGCCTCTCAGAAAGTCTAGAGGGTGGAAGCTTAAATGAGATACAGAAGGTACCAATCTGTAACATCCTGTTGGCCAAGTGCTTTACTCTGAAAATGTGCGACTAAGGGGAAACCATCATGTTTGTTGTCTAAAATATTTACATTTTATCAAAACCTGAATGAGTGTCCTTCCTCCAACAGTGCACACTTGAGTCAGGAGACTTGGGAAGAAAAATAGTTGTGCAAATAGAGTCACCTAATAGACTTCCTCTAAGTTTGCTGTTCTACAAGTGGGCAGCCCACAGCAGGTGTTTCCTGTTGGTAAATAACCTCCACAGATTTCTGTTTAAAATTGAGCTATTAATAAAAGTGGTGTCCTTGTCATTGATGCTTCTTGGGTGTTCTTAGGGAAACAAGTTCCTGACATTCTAGACAATGCAGTGAGCAATATCAGAAGTCATTCATTACACCATTTCATTAATAATATCCCACTCTCAGGATGATTCCATTTTAGAACAGAATTACCATACTTAGGTAGTGTAGCTCTCCCAGTAGGAATCAGGTGGGGAGAAAGATACCCCAGCCTCATTTTGCTGGACCTCACAGTCCTCTGTTGGTGATAGGAAGGAATGTGGGGAAGGGGTCTTGGTTTAACACGCTGATGTAGCCTGATTATGCAAAGAATGTCAGAGTGGCCCTTGGGAGAATGCTTCCTCTTTTTCGTTTTCTTTTTTTTTTGGTCATTAACTGGTGGTATCCCTGCTGAGTTCCTGAAGTCCCAGCTTTCCAGTCCATTGAATGAGAATTTCCTCTGTCTCTCTCCTCTCTCCCCTCTCTTCTCCTCTCTCCCCCCTCCCCTCCCCTCCCCCCTCCTCTCTCTCCTCTCCTCTCCTTCCTCTCCTCTCTCTCTCTCTCTCTCTCTCTCTCTCTCTCTCTCTCTCTCTCTCTCTCTCTCTCTCTCTGTTTTTCAAGACAAGAGTTTCTCTAGCTTTGGAGCCTGTCCTGGAATTAGCTCTTGTAGATCAGGATGGTCTCAAACTCACAGAGATCCGCCTACCCCTACTTGCAAGTACTAGGATTATAGCCCTGCACCACCACCACCAGGTATTTTTTTTTTTTAGAATTTCTAACTCAGCTTCTTACAGTGATTGTGGCAGGTTAGAGGTCTGGATAGTAGCTAGAGCAGACATACACAATCCCCACCTGCCTAGTGACCGTGTTAGTGTTTTATGTGCTCTCTACTTGAAAATAGAGACGTGTTTACTTCTTCCCCCCACTTTGTTTTAATGTAGTGAAGTGCTAGTCATCACAGTTTACAGAATGACGCAACCACTTGGATTTGAAGGAAGTACTGTTAAAATATACAGACTTACATTTGGAAAGGCATTTATAGTTGCAGGTGTTTTTTTACTATGTATCCATTGAAGAAACACATGCCTACTAAGAATTTTGGACTAAGCTGTTTAGAACTAATGTATAATAACACTTCATAGCTGCTGTAGGCTCAGCAAGAATTTACTTCAGCTTTTGAGAAGCCCAGAACACTTAGAAAATACTTTCTTTCAAACTACGGGAGGGGGAGGGAGCTGAGCAGACCTCTACCTTTTCTTTGGACGTGGGACAGAGAATGGCAGTGGTATTGTCTCCCTCCCCTGTCATCTAAGTTGCTTTTGGCTGTCATACCATTCGCCACAGTTCACAGAAAGACTGAACATTAAGGTGATTTCTCTTTGTGGCAGGATAAGTAATAAAAAGCTGGGGATGAACCAAAGAAAGTTCACTACCTTTGTTTATTTTGGGGACAGTGGACTATGATGCTCAGGTTAGTCTTAGTCTTTTGGTCTCAAAGGATTCTTCCTGCTGTAACATCCTGAGAAGGCCTTTAGGCATGTGCTGCTGTGCCCAGTTATCCCTCCTCCATCCCCATTACATTAAAAAAAAAATTTGTTAACTTTTTTTTTTCCTTGAGAATGTTTCACTATATAGCCCCTACTTCCTGATATAAAGACCAGGCTGCCTGGAATGCACAGGAATCTGCCTACCTCTGACTTTCAAGTGCTGGAATTCAAAGTGTGAGGCTCCATTTAGGTGGCTGAATAAATTAGCTTTTTATAGATAAAGTCACTTGTTTCCACAAGACATTATCTTGGTCCCACCCACAAAAGGGTAACCACTGCCTGGTGACATACCAGTTTCTTATTTTCTTCTTGCAAAATACAATCTCATTGACAGGGTCAGCTATGGATATAGTACTGTTTTAAGTGTTTTAATGTGAGTGTATTAGAGTTTGTGGTAGGTACTTAAAATGGGGATTTTTTTTTTTCTTTTTTCTTTTGCAGCTGAGGAAACAGGTGCAGAAACTAGCTTAGTAAGGTTACTCAGGCAAGATTCTGACTGGATTCTCAGCTGTCTCTTGGGAGCTGCACTGTTCTTAAAGTGAAAGAAACATGCTTTTTCAAACCATGATGCTCTTGTGAGAATGGATTTGGAAAAATCTGTCAAACTTTTTCCTGAATAATTGTTTTATTAGCTAGGTTTGATGGCTCAAACTTATATATCAGCATTTAGAAGCTGAGGGCGGAGGATCACAACTTGGAGTCATACTGGGGCTACAGAGTCAGATCCTGTCTCAGAAGTGTCTGTCTCCTCCCCCCCCCCCACCACCACACCAAGACAATGGGTTTCTCTGTAGCTTTGGAGCCTGACATGGGACTAGCTCTTGTAGATCAGGTTGGCCTCAAACTCAGAGATCCACCTGCCTCTGCCTCCCCAGTCTGGGATTAAAGGTGTGCACCCTGCCTGTCTCAGATTTGTTTTGTTTTTTGAGACAGGCTTCAGAATTGTTTTGCAGGATAGATTTTTCTGACTAGATACAGATGTTTCAGTTTCATCAGCTACATTCAGTCTGAGAAGTCCTAAAGGGCCAGTAACAGAAAATTCCACTTTGGGGGTTTCTGAAGATACAAGTGGAAATATGTGATAGTGTCCCAAAAACCTACTGGCACCTGTTGTCAGTTGTCCCATGAAAAGCATATTCATATGCTGTTGGCTGGTTTTCTCTAGTTTTTAGGTTGATTTTTTTTTTTTTTAAATTAGGGCTTTTCTGTAATGTGAGAACAGGCTCTGTCATCAGTGTGGCTGACAGCTGACTAGACTGCAACATAAATTTAATCTAAAATTTGCACAAAGCATATCTTAATGTTCACATGCAGTTTGTCTCAGGGAGGCAGACTAATAGACCAGGGTCAAGAGCTGTAGTTGGACTTCCGGAAGCCTCCCCAGGCACCCCCCCCCTCCCGTTTTGGTTTACTGCTTGGGCCTTTTTCTCTCCCAAAATAAACTCTTAACAACCCGAAGAACTTGACTGTTCGCTGGCTGCTGTGTTGTACCCTTTCGCGCGTCGCAAGAGCCCCTTTGGAATAAGTCGCACAACTTACCCAAATCCTCTCCATTACTTCCTTGATTGTTGATGACATACATCACTGACTTGGTTGCTTCCCCTACTTTTTAAGTTTGATAGATATGCGGTGTAAACTTAGGGAAGGGAAGATAGGTGCTCCAAGTTTTGAATCCTTACACGAAAGTCACAGCCCTCAAGAGATAAAATCTGTAACCTGCTTAATTATAGGAATTAGGACTTAAAGGGATTATACCCAAAATCTGTCCTACATTTCTGAGGTCGCCGCTGCCTTGCGCTGTGGGAGGATTTGGGAATGATATTTAAATAGTTCTGATGAAAATGATTTGGTGTTAGTCCTACCTCCGCCCTGAGGGACAGGGTGGGGCCTCGAAGTATTTTAGAAGTATCAAGGCGTTCCAATAAAATAAACAGGTTGGGGTATTGCACAGTCTGAGCCAGGCATAGGAAGTCCCACTCCCACCCAAGTTAAAAACCTTTCCTGGTTATGCGCAGGTACCTCCTTGCCTAACGGCCCCGGCCCTTAACTTTCTCACCCCTTCAACCCCAGACCTGGAGGGGCTTTCTCCTTACCAACTTCAGATCAACAAACATTCCACCCAGGGGTATCATTTACCCGAAAAGGGGCGGGTCAGGGGCCGCGTCTGTGACCTCGCGTGGAACTCCCGTGCTGCGCTCCCATTGGTTGGAAGTTCT